TCCCGAATACTCTCCCAAGAACCAAACGCCCAAATCTTTCGAGCTGCGTCCAGCCGTGTCGACGGGTGCCCCGGAAAGCCAAAAACTTCCAACCTCAATCCTCGAGGCTCGAACTTCTAACCGCTCGGACAAGGGGGGCGGGGAGATAAGACGCTGATAGGAAGACGCAAATATGATCGAGGAGAAAAGGGGCAGTAAGTAGTCAAAAAACAAGCAACAGACAACCGCGGCTACCCCTGGGCGCAAGAGAAACATCCATGGGTGCTTTCCCACGAGAACTTCATCGTGTGCAACAACCGAAAAGCGAGTCGAACAACTTCAAGAAGGCCCAGCGCGGCATGCGAAGCAAGGGCAGCGATCCTCGCATGAAAGACGCGCGCGTTGACGCACACAACACATGTCTCCCGACTTCGACCGCGAAAGAGGGAATGGGGCTGAACGCGTGGGCAACACGTTGCACGATGCTCTGGTTATAAAGGCAAGCGAAATCAGGCAGCAATGATGCCATTCTATTTTTTGGGGGACTCCACCTATACCTCGAGATCTAGAATCCAAATCCTGGCTGGAGGTGGGGGTGGTTTTTGCGGACTCTTGGGGCAAAAGCGAAACCGAACGAAATCGGCACGCCGTAAGCAGCTTAGACGGGCGTAGTGTCGCGGCAACGACACAAAGCAAGATCGAAACGCGCAGACCGAACGCACCAACTGCGACGCAGCCAACCGGTCGAACCGCGAACGCCCTTTTCCTCTCTTCTGGAGGTCGGAAAGGGGTGGTGGCACAAATGGATGTGGTGCCAGTCGTGGAAGTGGCGATGTCAGCGACGATGGATACCATCGCCGCACTCGGCAGTGGCACGACACCCCTTCACGCAACACCCATTGCCTGCCTGCAGATCTCTGCCGATTGCCGGCGCACCCCGCCCTGCCGCCTCCGGCGCACCCCGTCAGGCACGCCCGGCTGCCCCCCCCTGCGGGCCTCGGGGCCTGGCGGCACCTGCCCGCTCTGCTAACCTGCACGACGCCCAGCCCACCTGCTGCCCAGGACGCATTCTTGCCGCTCGCGCCCGCGTCCGCCCTGCGGTCGGCGCCCCCGCCCGCGGGCTCTGAGCAGTCCGCCGCGTGCAGGCCAAGTCGGGGCCTCCGCCCTCCGCTGCCAGTCCTCGCGACCATCTCGTCAACCATGCTGGGTGCACTTCGTTTTGCGTGCCACCCTGCATGCCTTCGCGGCACTGGTGCCGCTTCGCCAGCGGAGAAGCGTGTACACCCCTAGCCCATGCCAGCCACGTACGTCCAGGAACGGTTGCTGAGCGTGTCGCGTCGCCGATTCTGCACCAGGACGCTTCGACGCGGCCTGCTAGCTGCCTCACGCAGGCTGGCTGAAGGCAACGGCCCCACCTGGCGTAAGCCGCCCCGCCTCCAAAAGGAATTCACAACTCTTTGAGGTGTGCTCGCCTCTCATCGCTGCACTGTTTGCACATAGTTCCACTCGTGCCTAAAATAATGCATATAATGGACCAGGTGGAAATCAGCGGCAGACAGGCCGTCGAAATCCTGCCTCCCAGGGAAGAGTTAGGAATGACGATGCGCGCCCATCCTTGCGATCCTGGCACCCTCGCTCACGCGGGTTGAAAGGCGTGGGACCAAAAAGCGAAGGATTGGGAGACATGGATGAGCGGGCGAAGAACGTTATCACGTAAACTGTTCCGCGTTCGAGACGCCTGTCCAATGTTGTTTCGCAGCGAACGCCAAGCCCCCGGCGTCGCGGTGAACACCAGAAGGCCCAGTCAGCCAGGTGAGAACAAGCAGCGCCATGCGCGCACAGCAGCAGCAAGAGCGGGGGGAGCAGGTGGCAAGACACTGCAAGCCAAATGGGACACGGAGAGGTATTGTGAAGCAGCGGTGCCTCCTGCCCCGCAGGAAAGCACGGCTGCGTCCAAGGGATTCCCGAATCACCCAAAGTAGCAGAACCCGACAAGACTCGCAGGGAACACGAGGAGTTGAGAGGAGGGAGGACGAGGACGAGGGGGGAGAAAACCCTCGTTCCGCAAGCCGGCTTCGAGCGTGGCCCGGCAGGCCGCGCAGACAAGCGAGAAGAGCCTGAACACCTGCGCCAATGCATCTCCCCTGCCGTCGAAGGCCAGCGACACGAAACACGGACGAAACCCAATGCGAATGGATGGGCTTCAAAGGCAGCCCCTGCGGGCGGGCGCTGGAAGCTCGCTGAGAAACAAGGAGCCCGCCCGGCTGGAGCGCCCGTCGCATGCACACGTACAACTGCACTCGCACGGGCCGAGGCCCGTGCAGAGGGGTCGAGGCAAGGACGAAGGGGGCAGAGGAGGGGAGGGCCCGCTCAGGGGCAGTATCAGACAGATCACATCCATTCCATCAACGCCCCGCACAAAGGGCAATCAAAGCGTTCATTACTGATCACCGCCATCACGCAATATCCAACATGTGTAAGGACAAGGGCAACTGAAAAATCCGCCGACCCTGTCGGCGTGCGGAGATGCTCTTCTGTTGGTCGTCGTCGTCGTCGTCGTCTCCGTCGTCTTCTCGTCGTCTCCGTCGTCGTCTCCGTCTCCGTCGTCTCCTCGTCGTATCCGTCAATCGTCGTCTCCGTCGTCCCCCGTCTCCTTTCTCTGGCCCCTCCACCTTAATCGCGCCAGCCAATTGAGCAACGTCGTAGCTGAGTCGAAGGGAAACCCCTTCCCTTTGATTCCTTCCCCGCCGGGTGGGGGGTCCCGGGGGGTGACGCCCAGGGGGTGGGTCCGGGGGGGGGTCCGGGGGGGTTCCTGGTGGGTGGGTCGCCCCCCAGACACGCATCCCCCCAGGGCGGTTCCGGGGCCCAAAAAAGCACCAAGACGCGGCAAGAGTGCCCCAAGAGGCACCCAAGACGGTTCTCGAGGGTCCCGGATCGCCGAATTATCTGTCCAAGACGCCACAGTAGCCTCCAGGCGGCTCAAGAGGTTTTCAAAACGCTCCAAGAGGCCTCCAGGAGCACTCCCAAGAGGGACCAAAGCGGCACACATCATAGATTTTCCTGAAGTGTTTGACAGACTTTGGTGTTCTCGCCTTGTCCGCTTCCCGACGCTCCAAGACAGCCCAAAAAAGCCCCAACGGTCGCCCAAGAGGCCTCCCAGAGGACCCCAAAACGACTCAAGAGAACCCAAAGACCGCCCAAGAGGCCTCCAAGACAGCCCAACAGGCCCCCAAGACGGCTCCAAGAGGGAGCCCAGCCCAGCCCAGACGGGGGACCCGAACGGACATTTCAGGCCCTCGGCCTGAGAGGCTCCCAGGAGGCCCCCAGATGCCCCCAAGAAGCCCCCCAGCCCAAAGACCCCCAGGAAGCCCCAAGAGGCCCCAACGAGGCTCCCAAGAGGCCCACTAGAGCCTCCCAAAAGGCCCTGAAGCTACCCCGAAGAGGCCCGCGAGAGCGCTCGCCGTCGTCGTCGTCGTCGTCGTCGTCGTCGTCGCCGCCGCCGCCGCCGCCGCCGCCGCCGCCGCCGCCGGTGTCGTCGTCGTTGTCGTCGTTGTCGTCGTCGTCGTCGTTGTCGTCGTCGTCGTTCAGGGTCGGCGGCCCCAGCCGTAAGGCCTCCCCAATATACTCCCGCTATCCACCCTGGGGGCAAAAACTTTCCAGCTGGCATTACTTGCGCATCTGATTCCGGAAACAGTGTTCTACAGTTCTTCGCCCGCTAAGGGACATTGAAGAGCGCTCTTGACAGCTAAGGGGTCAATGAGAGAGGAGGGGGAGGCCCGTGCCAGTATTATATCAAGTCTCCCCCCCTCGGGGTCCTGCGATCAGAGCGGTCCAACCCATGCGCCCCCTCTCTCCCAACCGCCCCAAGGAGCCGCTGCTCCTCTACAACTCTACAAGGTTCAAGCCATTTGAACCACTCTTGCAATATGAGCCTAGAGCTCAAGCGTACCCAGGGCAGCCCAAATCTATGGCAATGTATGTTCTGGGAGAAGCGGTACTACACACATGAAATGTGATATCGCCCTCCTCGGAATGAATTTCCTGACGGCAACGCTGGCAACGCGATGTGCTCCCAGAGAGAGCCGGCACGCTCAGAGGTAGCTTCCTCCCAACCGTGCTGGCTGTGCAATGTGCGCCGAAAACGCGTCGGCAATTCAGCATGCTCGGAAAGGTCTTCCCACCGACTTCGGCCTGAACTCCTCCTGATGCTGCACACGAGCTGGCACGCTCGGAGCGGGCATCCTGGCAACACCTCACCAGCACTGCTTGGCATCGCCAGCTGCACGGGAACCGAGCTTTGAACGCTCGGAGTGCGTCTCTCGCCAGCAGCGCTGGCAGCGCAAGGCGCGAGGGAGCGAGCCGGCACGCTCGAGACGAGACTGCTGGCAGCAGCGCCGGCGGCCGACGTGCACCAAAGGCGGGCCAGCACGCCGGGGGGACGCCTGCTGGGACACGGGGGGGATGCCAGCCGAGGGCGCCTGCGCAGTGCGACCCAACTCCTGAGGGTGCGCGGTGAGGATCCAGGACCCCTGGGCGCCCAAAGTCGAAGCCGAAATTGGAAACCCACGGCCCATGGCCAACGGCCAAGATGGGCCGAGAGGCCTGGATATAAGTGTACCGTTGGGAATTTGCTCGTCCTTACTATCCTGGTTGACTGTAGCGAATGAGGTGAATGAGGACCCTTCAAGATAAGCCTAGCTAAGCAACTGTGACATAGAATGCGTGTCCGCCCTATCTAGATGCGCGAAGCGTGAAGCTATGCGTTTTTTTGGTCACGCCGCCTCATTCTGATGGTCCTCCTCCCTCTGGCAGGGACTCGGGCAAGCAGCTCTACCCCCAACCTGTCGTTCGGGACGATCCTCGGCCCCCGAAAGGTTTCGACGAGGCGCAGCTGCTGGAAAGTAACCCTGGGCCTGAAGTGATTCATGGATTCGAAAAACAAGAGACGCATTATAACTTCTCGAAGCAACTCCGACCACCTCACCTCCGCCTTTCACGAGGTTTCGCATACCCCTGTGGGCCACTGCGGGAAGATGGGGCTGTACTCGCTCGTCGGCTTCTCTCCGAGCCCCAGCCGCGTGCGGAACTGATGCCCGAACGAGCAGAACTCCTTCTGAACTAGCATCAGGAAGCCGCTCACCTGCGAAGATGCATGATGAGGGAGAGGAGGGAAAGGGGAAGCTGGAACGCCTCTTGCCACGAAGGATGTTCGAGGCTCGAAGCGCGAAGGAGATCCCATGGAGGTTTGACGTGTCTTTAGCTCTTACGGAGCCTCTGGGAGGTGTCCCGTCGCCACGTCTGGGTTATCAGATCCCGCCAGCTTTCTGGGCGTATGTGTGTTCAGCGCGGTCCCTCTTCCAACTCCCTATTCTCCCCCTTCAGGGACGGGCTGCCCTCTTCCCCTGCCCCGCGTTGCAGCACTTCCCCTGTTGCCCGTGGACTGGATGCGGCTGGCAATGTGGCGCGGTGGCCACCCCTGGCAAACCGCGGAGAAACGGACGAGTCACCTATACAAATCCTTGCTTGACGGAGACTTGGACCTGAGGGCCGGGGGGGGGCCCTTGGGACTCTTTCCAGGGTGGTCGCGGGGCCCTGTTGGGGGCCTTCGGGGGCTCTCTGAGGACTCTGATGGGGCATCTAAGAGCCTGAACGACCCTTTTGGGGTCGTCTTGCGGCGCCAGCGCGGCGTCAGGTACAAGTGTTGCTGTAGGCTTGTCGCGATTGGGGGCGATCCTGGAGCCATCTTGGGGTCTTAGCGGTGAGATTTTGGGGTTCGCATCGGCGCATCTGGCCCCGTTTTGTGACCTGCCTGGGCCCATTGAAATATATTTTCACCGATTCTGGGGCCATAGGAGGCCTTTGGACATGATGGGGAGCTGGCGATCAAGGCCCTTGCACAGTTCTGGCATTTCGGAACCATCCTGGGCAAAATCCGCGGCCACCTCGGGCCATCTTGTGACGGTCTGGGAGGCTTTGGGAAGCCCGCTGGGCGCCATCTTGGGCCATCGCGTGCCATTTTGGTGGCTATCTTGGAAGCCGCTTCGCATTGTCTGCGTGACACGCGGGGTCGTGGACGGGGGGCGTTGGGTGGAGCGGGCCCCTGCATTGGGGTTGAACGGCGGGGTTTTCGAGGTGGCAGAGGGTCTGTTCGGCCAAGTGTGGTTTCAAGCGGGCCGTAGATCGCCCAAGATAGTTTCCAGCATGACACACTCGAGCCAACGATGGCCTCCAACATGCGTGCGCTATGCCCCAAGACGGTTCCAAGTGGCCACGCAGCCTCCCACTGATACCTCAGAAAGGCCCGACTCACTGAAACACCGGGCTGTTCTAAATGCTTGTGTGCCGCATTCCGCTCGCGATGGGCCCCGGCTGGACCGCGGCAGAAATTCCCCCGGAAAAGCGCAAGGGCCGCTCTCACTATGACCCCAAACTGGCACAAACACGCACTCGAACTGAAGGGTTCCCACCATGGGCCCGGGAATTATGATACATCTCGTTTAACTTGCTGGGATCATCTACGCGCTGGAATAGATCAGAGGAGCGGGATCCTGGCCACGCCGCGTAAGCCGAGTGCAATGCTAAACTTGTACGGGGGCAGGGGGTTCAATGTCTCCTGAACCCCCTCCCGCCCCCCTTCAGAGCTGTGGTCGCAGTGAGCTCGCGTCTGTGAACAGCGGCTCGGCGATGTGCAGTTTTTAACCCCCAAGACGACAACAAGTCGACAGCAAAAATAATTGGAAATCGATCAAGCGTTGCTGCCGAGCGACAGCAACGAGGCGACAGGGATCCTGGTTGCACAAAAGCGAAAGGGCGTGCCGCTGTTCACTCCCAGGACGACACGAACGCAACAACAAGGATGCGGAGTTGCGGGTGCGCGAGCAGGCTGCGGGTTCTTCTTCCGCTCTCAAGACGACAGCACGTCGACAGCAAGTGCACCCCAAAATCGCTCCACAGCCCGAGACGACAACAACGCGGCGGCAATGACACGGGCATGCGCGAGCTCGAACGGGCGCGTCGCCTTTCACCCTCAAGGCGACAACACCTCGCCAAAAAGGATGCGAAGTTGCAAATGCGCGAACAGGCAACAGGAGTTTCCTTGGAAACGCGAGAGAGACGCTCTCCATCGAACCTCGAACCGACGCCGATACGCAGTCAAACTGCGCTGCGGGGTCTGCATCCCGCCTGGGATCCCACGGGAAACTTATTCCTTCTGGGCGGGGGAACTTATTTCCAGAGCTTCACTTTTAGATCCGAATGCGTCGGGGGGGAGCCTGCGACATTTCCCGCGCAGGTCGCGCGATGGTTCGGACTGGCCGGGCCGGGCGGGGGCGGGCCGCCGTGGCTCCGCAGAGGCGCGGGGGGGGGGGGGGGGGAACTGGCTCGCGCGCGCCTCGCGCGTTGCGCTGCGAATCCCACCAGCCCTTTGGGCGTGAGTGGTTTAGAGAGCCCGCTCTGTCCTCAACCCCCCTTCTTCCCCTTCGGGGAGGGGTTTACCCCTCCCCCTCCCCCCTCCCCCTGGGCCTGGACAGGGAGCCCCGGGTGTTCTCAAGGGGGTCTTTTTCGACTCCTGGGAGGGGCAAAAAACGACGACCCTCACGAGGATTCTGGCCCCGACGGGGGGGCCGAGTTTGGCCCCTCTTCTTTGAAGCCAAAATCATTGATTTTACTATGGTTTTGGCCCCATTTTGGCCTCCTGAGGGGGCCGCGCTTCTCTTCCCTCATAGCAACATCATTGATTGTACGAAGGTTTTGGCCTCATTTTGTCATTCTCAGGGGGCAGCTCTCCTTTGCGCTTCTGCGGAGGTCGCAAGAGGCCCCAAGATGGCCCCAAGAGGCCCCCAGGAGGCTCCCAAGAGGCCTCCAAGAGGCCCCCCAGAGGCCCCCAAGCGGCCCCAAGAGGCCCCCAAGAGGCCCCAAGAGGCCCCCAAGAGGCCCCAGAGGCCCCCAAGAGGCCCCCAAGAGGCCCCAAGAGGCCCCCAAGAGGCCCACCCCCAAGAGGCCCCCAAGAGGCCCCCAAGAGGCCCCACGAGGCTCCAAGAGGCCCCCAAGAGGCCCCACGAGGAGCCCGAACGACTCACATCAGGACGAGGGGCCCGAACGACTCACACCACAAGAGCCCGAACGACTCACTCGACACACACCAAGGAGGGGCCCGAACGACTCACACCAGGACGAGGGGCCCGAACAACTCACACCACGAGAAGCCCGAACGACTCACACCAGGACGAAGAGCCCGAACGACTCACACCACGAAGAGCCCGAACGACTCACACCAGGAAGAAGGGCCCGAACGACTCAGACCAGGACGAGAAACCCCAAACGACTCAAACCACGAGGAGCGCTTTCTCTCCCTCCTCCTTCGCCTCGTCCTTCTCCCGCTCCCCCCACAAGGAGGATGTACAAGGAGGCGGGAGGAAGGAGGAACAGGGGAGATATGCGGGGCCAAGCGGACACACGCTTGAAAAACACGACTGTCGGCATGCTTCGCGAGAGTTGCTGCTGTGAGATGGGCTGGTGGGGATACGCGAAGCGTAAAGAATTCTCAACTCAGGGCCCCAGGGCCCGCGCCCTGCCCGGCCTCAATGTTATGACCGCGCCGCGGGCGGGCGGCCGATTTGTCGCGTCGGCCTCGGGCGCGCGCCCTGCCCGCGGCTGCGCGCCCGCGCCCCTTTGCGGGCGCCCCCCGGCCCGCGGCGACGCTCGGGGCCGGTCGTCTTGCAACGACAGCGTGGCACGCCTCGCCCGGGCCTCGCCCGTCGCGTCTGCCTCAGAACCGCGCGGCGTCACCCCGCGCGGGCAACGAACGCCGCTTCACTGTCGCGCTAGGCCAGCAAGGCCAAGGGACGCGGATCGCCGTAGCTCCGCGCCCATCGCGAGGCGATCGCCCGTCTGACCCACCGTCGCGATAGCCGCGGGAATACCGTCCTAGATGGCCTACCGACCAGGGGCGAATTAATGAGTCGACTGGACGGGGATGAATTGGGTTGTCGTGCTCTTTTTCATTTGTTGTTCTTTTCCAAGTCCACGTGGTGCATCGCCAACGATGGCACCGCTGCTTCTTCATCCTGGCAGCCCCGAAGATTTTGCGCAACGGCTGAGCTGGCCAAGGCTCAGAGCAACGTCGCGAGACTGCCTCCGCCGACTGCGATGTCACGAGCCATGCCTCCTCTCAGCGAGCGGGCCCTGTGTCTACCGTGGTCAGGTGATTGGCGAGCTGCCCCGTGCGCAAAAGAGACCGCTGCGCAGACCGCGTGAGAACGCGATTCCCGCCCTGTCTCTGCGATGCAAGGCTTGCGATGGTGCAGCGCGCGCAAGGGCTGGCCCGACTGCCGACGGCAACGCTCGCGCCGCGCGACGGCCGGGCGCTGGCAGGGCCTCAGCCAGGTCAGCGATGCTAAGCCAACCCCCCTTCACAGCAATTTGCAAGTACCCCCCGCTGATCTTCAACGGCGCGCGCCCCGACGGGGCCCGAAACAAACGCGGCCGGCCCGCGGCGCGCAGCGAAGCTTGCGCCGGACCCCCGGGGGCCCCCGAAGCGACAGGCCGTCGAAGGTCGCGAGCTTCCCTTGGGAAGCGCTGCCGCGCAGAGTCTGCTTGCTCGGCGCGGCCCCCGCGGGCCTGCCTCGCCGCGCCCCAGTCGGCGTTGAATATTAAATTTTGTCAGGAATGCGCAAGAAATGCCGCCATGGCGGAACGTGGCGACGTTTCGGATGACGTCGCCACCCCCCGCCGAGATGCGCAGCCCCCGCCCGGGCGCGCCCGCGAACGCGGCCCAGCAGCGCGCCCTGGCGATGTGGGGCGGCGGGGATCTGCCGATTGATGCAAGCGCGCCCCCCTGCCCCGCTTCGTCCAGAATCCGATCTTCGCCCGCCCCGCCAGCGCGGCAATGGCCTGCCCGGGCGGCGGCCTGTCTGGCTAGGGCTGGCCCACGCCGGCAAAATTCACCCAAACAGCGCGCGCGTTTTTTTGCCGTCGCTTGAACCATTAGAGACTCTCGGTCGCATTCCCGCGCGGCTCGCGCAACCGCCCGGCCCGCGCGACGCTCGGCCGGGAAGAAGACAATCTGGGAAGCCGCCAGCCCGAGCCGGCGTTCGCTGGAGGCACCAGTGCGCATGAAACCGCGAAGGCACGCGCTCCTTC